TAAGGGTTTAGGTTACGTACGTTAGTTAGTAGTAGTAAGTAAGTAAGTAAGAAGTAGTATATATATATATATATATATATATATATATATATATAGACTTGAATGGTAATCGTGGTAATTTGCTTAGTAGAAAGAGGTTTCGTCTTTGACTGTCGTATATTGTGTAGTGATTAAGTTTTGAATAACGCACATTCACACACTTAAATCCAGATTCATAGTCAAAATCTGGAAACAGGATTGTGTATAGTTTTAAATTTATTTTATTTACGATGGGTGCTGATATGTGATTTTACCAGACTTGTGTCAACTTGTGTGTGTGTGTGTGTTGGGGGCGGACTCGCTGCGACTTGTCACACTATAAAATTTGCAGTCTTAATTTCAGTTAGTATATTTTTCTGGCACAATTTGATCTCACTCTCTTGTATGATATATATATATATATCTATATATAATAAATAATTCGGATAAAAGTAATATAATTAAAAAAAGGTTTTTTCGAGGTACAAACTTTATTTAAAAGTTATTTCTACCTTATATTTGGGCCCGGCATGGCCGGGTGGTTAAGGAGCTTGTCTCGCAATTTGCGGGTCGCGGGTTCGAATCCCCGTCCCACCAAACATGCTCGCCCTTTCAGCCGTGGGGGCGTTATAATGTGATGGTCAATCCCACTATTCGTTGGTAAAAGAATAGGCCAAGAGTTGGCAGTGGGTGGTGATGATGATAGCTGCCTTCCCTCTGGTTTTACACTGCTAAATTAGGGACGGCTAGCGCAGATATACCTCGTGTAGCTTTGCGCGAAATTCAAAACAAACAAACCTTATATTTGTATAAATAAATTTCGAGATTTTAACGTTAGACGTTTAAATTTTCCGGAAACGGCTGAATATCGCTTTTGAATGTTGTGAAGGTCTTTTATCATTAAGAGTATCATCTGAAAAAATAACGGACTAGGTGGTAAAAACTGCTTATTATTACAAGTTTGATGGATCTCGGATGAAAGTTTTCTGATTGTTGAAGCTAACTGTTTCTTTATACAAGTTTTTGATGTCACTGCAGACCTGCGATATACTGAATAATAACATCAGGTGAATCTTGCACATGCGCACAAGTGACTCGTAGCCGAGATGTTGACCCCTTGTATTCGTTACTTGTGTTTACTTGTTGATGTCAAAACTGTATCTTTTACGTTCAGTCAAGTTGATTTTTAAAATAAGAAATGGGAAATATGTATATGTTTGGATAGATGACGTGGCACGTTATAATAATATTAGTTTGTATGATAAAGTAAAAGCGAACTTTCAGCATAAATATTAGTACTATTAAGGAAAAATGCAGAATAGCAATATAACATAAAGATAATTATAGTATCGTAGGTGTCCTACACGTATATACTTGTTTATCTTGATGGGTATAATAAGTTTTATGTTTCGTTACGTGTATGAAAAAATGTAGGTTTATACGGTTACAGTTACAGAGTGAAAAGGTGCTTCTTGATAAACTCCACGGATGTGCATGTTGAAAAGTGGTATTGAAACGGTTCTTCAATAAAGAATATAGAAGTCCAATCTCGATATTTATCAATTTGGGATTATTTTTCTTTATGTATAAGACATTTATATACTTTCGTCCTTTGACATTTTTGGGTTTTGCCAGAATTTCAGCCACAAATGAACACTACGTATTCAGAAGTGGCGTTCGTTGTGTTAAGTGCTTGTATATGCACAGTAATTCTAGTATGTAAATGTCTCAGAGTCTCTTCTGTACAGATTTAACTTGCACACCGTACGTTTCAGTTGATAAACCACGCTCTTCTCGAGACGTAGTTTATCAGCACCATTCTTTCTGGCGATGCTTTTGTTCTTGATACAACCTACGTGCTCTAAGACAGAATGAAATAATTCTTCTTTCCAATACTTTCCTGATGTCCGACTGATGGAAAGTGGCGATTATTTGGTGGTCTGCTTTAGTTTCGACGTTACTATGATGTATGGAATAAGAAATGTTGTTTGATGTGTCTGATCGTTTCTGGCGATGCTTTTGTTCTTGATACAACCTACGTGCTCTAAGACAGAATGAAATAATTCTTCTTTCCAATACTTTCCTGATGTCCGACTGATGGAAAGTGGCGATTATTTGGTGGTCTGCTTTAGTTTCGACGTTACTATGATGTACGGAAGAAGAAATGTTGTTTGATGTGTCTGACCGTTTCTTGCGAGGCTTGAATTTATTACTTTTGGAATTTTTTACTTTGACAGAATCTGTAAACTGTTTCAGGGTATCCACTGTGTAAAAGCAGAATATTAAGGTTTTTATTTGATGAATATATTTCTGTTGTCTTGAGTTCATCCGTTAATGCGATTTGTATGTTATGAGTCATAATGCTACAAGAAGGGTTTTTCTGTTCTTTGATAGTTGAAGTTACTAAATAGTTAAAGTTACTTCAAAATAGTGAGCTTCTGTGTTTTTACAGAATATTCCAATTTAAACCTAAGAGAGGGAAGAAAGAAATTCAAAATAACGCAAGTAGCCTTTTTAGGTTTTAAATACCGTGGCTCCAGATATAGAAATTATAAACATATTTAGTAATATTTTATTAGATGAAGATAAAGGTCGTCTAATTTGCAAAATGTCTCAAGATGCTCCAGTTAGCTACATACTTTGAAAATAGAATATAATGAGGACTAACATTCGTTTGGATATGTACATAAGCATCGCTTGAAAAACCTATGTTCTCTGTCAGGGCGACGTGGCAAATCAATATTAACTAACTCCGTATGATATTAGGAATAGAAAAACAAGTGTTTTTCCTTTTTTTATCAGAGATTACCGGTATTAGTATATCAGTATAAGTATGTGAATGTAACATGCAACATTTTCAGAAAGAGTGAAGTAACTCTGTGTGTGCGCGCGCACACACACACACACACACATATATATATATATATATATATATGCACACACACACACAAGCAAAATCAGATAGATCGCTTTTCAGTAAGCCAGCTGTTGTATTCTGTCCACGTGCAACATGGGTTTGTTACCAGTGACTGGTTACACTGTTAGCAGTCGGTACCAGAGAGAACAATGGCGCCACATATCTTGAGGGGGTAGGAAAAGGGGATAAACTTTGGCGTCATAAAGCTGCTCCGTTAGTAAGCTCAGCACACCTTTTGGTGAAGTCAGGTGCTGTTCGCTGCTTGAATATAACGTGTGTCTGCAGTACAGTTATTGATAATCCTAACCATAAATGATAATTGTGAACCTGAACTGAAAAATGGTAAGTGATGATTTTAGTTTCCTAACTTTTAAGTTTAGTACAAAAAGTTACAAAAATATCTCATTAATTTACAAAGAAGAATGAGTAATAGCACAACGATAGTTTAAAAATTGTGTAAGTGATGTTTAAGTTAGAATATGTAGTACATTTTGAGTACTTTATTCAAAGTTTCACATTCATACACAAACATTTATGCAAGCTGTTTTCTCAAACAGTTTAAAGATTTGTTTTAATAGTTTACATATATTAATGCTTTCTGCTGGGGCGAAAAATAGATCTTAGGGTTTGCTTATTTTTGTTTTTAGTCATGTTTATTTCTACTTAGCAGGGTAAAGCTTGAAAGGTTTTTCTGAAAGTGTTGTTAACCTTTTAAAAGATAGTTCTCTGCCAGCTCTTCCAAAGTCCAAGCTTAGTTCCCCTTTAAATAAAACCACAGTTAGTTATGTACTACAGTTCTGCATCTTAACATATAACCTAAATTAAATTTAATGAGTTATTCTATAAAGTCTTTCATTATAAAAACAATTACATGTTTTCTTATACTAAATCACTTGTAGATACTCAAGACATTTGATAGTCCAGTAAATAGAACAATTCATTTTCTGAAAGAGAGCAGGTTACTACTGCTTGTTCATCAAATTTACTTGAAACAGGAATTGCAATTTTACATTACCATATTAAAAGGACTTACAGTGTGTTTTTTTAACAGAAGAAAGTTTTTTTTTTATACGAATAAGAAAAATAACTGTACTTACTATTTTCATATTGCTGGGATTTCCATCATCAGAAAATAAAATTTATCTTTCATTTCATTATATGAAACTTAAGATAGCATGATGTTTTTTTTTGCCTTTTAACAAAGGTAAGGGATACAAAAAACATTCTATTAGTTTCAAAATATAAATTAATCCTATTATATTTGTTTTGCCTTTAGGATTTTTTTGATCAAACAAACTGAGCTCAAAACTTTGTTTTATTATTTATTACATGCTTTTTACAGTAGTCTAGAATTCTTCTAATTCTATTGTGTCTGTTTTTGTTAGCGAGAGAGAGAGAAAGAAATACTTATCGCAGACTCCTGGCCATCTTATTAAAAGCTCTCTCAATTTCCAGTAAAGACAAAGTAATAGAAACAATGATTCCTGGGTTTTCCATCATTTGTTTTTGTTAATAGAGGAATTTTAATTATGTTTTCACAATTGAACTACTCTCTAAAATACCTTGTAATACTTCAATTTGTATACAAGAAAAGCTGTTCACAAAGCTACGTATGCTCATCTGTTCAACGTTGTTGTGTGGGCTTTCATAAGTTATTATGTGCTGTGGATTTTGTACAAAACTGAGATATCTTTGTTACTCTCTATCCCCAGAGGCACTTAAGCCTAGATTTCTCTCTTTACTGGCAGCTCATATTGCATAAACACTTAAACCAAATGAATATCAGCATTATGATCCCTTATTGCATACTTCACTGCTTATTAGACAAAGCTCAAGGGAAAACATCCCTTACGAGTGAGTTTAGTCACTGCAGTAGGTAAATGCAAGTATTATTTTAAGGAATTGTATGAAAGTGATTTTGTTCAGAGCTGGGAATTTTTTTGTCTCTATGTAAAAGAGAAATTCACTGATAAGTAGAATTTGTTTTATCTTTTTTCTTTTTTTAGATGCTATTAGTGAAAGTAATCCTCGAATCATTGATGATTCACGGGCAAGGAAATTAGCAAATGATCTGAAACGTTGCTCATATTATGAAACTTGTGCTACTTATGGTTTGAATGTAGAAAGAGTATTTCAAGATGGTAAGTAAAATGTTTTTCCTCTTTTATTAAATGCTCACATTTGCATTCCGTTCTATTCTTTATGTTCCGAACAACATATTCAGTTCATCTTTTTGTATCTGATTAGTAGGTTTATTATTCACTTTCAATAAGCTTTTCTTTTTTTTTTTAAGAGCAAAAGCAGTGTTTAAATTCTGATGTTTAAACAGAGACAGCTTTAAGATTTGTGCACAACAAATTATTTTCTTTTAAGTTTTTCTTTATAATTCCAAATAAACTAGCCTGCAGTAATTAAAATTAGATGTCTACACAGTATTTCCAATACTTTATACACTTATGTACTTGCATATTTGTAGTAAATGTAATAAACTTGTACATCATTTAAGTTTGGATATTATTATGATTTACAGTTCATTTAAGTTTTTCAGGTAATTAGAAATAGTACCCTGTTTAGATACTTCACCTGATATTTTGTTGCTATGGCATAAAATTCTAAAAGTGACAAGTAAACATAAGTACTAAAAACATTTTCTAGTTTTATGAGTTACACTATACTTCATATACTTGCAACATTATAGTACCAAATATTAGGGTTGGATGTGACCTAATGATTGTGTGTTAGTCTTTAAATCTGAAGGTATGTGGTTCACACTCTGTTGCTATAAAAATGCACTCTGTACTTTGGGAGCATAGGTATGTTATAAGAGCAATGGTCAAATCTCACTATTCAGTTAGAGTATCCCAAGAGTAGGCAGTGAGTGCTGTTTCCTTCCATCTAGTCTATCAGTAAAATTTTGAATGGCTAGTTCAGATAGCCCTTGTGTAACTTTGTACATATTTTTGATCAAACACCTAGTTTCAACTTATAAAAATAGAAAAGAAACATTATTAGTTTATGCAACTCGTCTATTTTTTTATCTGTGTAGATATTTTCACCCATATTGTTCAAGTATGTTTTAAAGTTACTGAGAAATGAAATGTTGGGCAAACATTAGTTTCCGTTCCACATACTCTGTTGGTTTCCCAAATCCAGGTAATAAAAATTAAAATTTTCTGTGAAGTAGGAGGCCAAGAATAATTGTGATGTAACAGAAAATTATATTCAGTCTCGCATTTATCTAAGCTGTAAAATATTGACAGAACTTTAGAATATAAATTTTTGTATTAAATATTTCATACTGAAATTTAACAGATACTTCATTCAGTCTCTTTGATGCTTTGGAGTTCTCAGATTGTTCTAAAAACATGTAGAATGACAAGTTTGTGGCAGTAATTATGTTCTAAATATTGTTTGATTCTATTTTTGTCAAACATATTAAGTTTACTTTTATAAATGTTTGATAACTTTACTTTTTCTGGTATATAATGTAGTTCAGCGAATTCAATGCAATACTTAAATAAATCAATATAGAGAAAATAAAAATGGTATTATAATAAACCTCCTTCTGTGGATCATCTTAAAAACGTTTAATCATTTAAGAACAAAAAATATGAAAAGTTGCATTTATTTTTAATTATTGTACACCATATTTAAGAAATAAAATCACTCCATTTTGTTTTATTAACTTAATTCTTACTAAATTTAATGATTTTTAAGACTTGTATTTTAGTGAATGAACAGAAAACATTTTTCAATTATAGTAGTAAAACAAAAATGTTTAAATTATTTTTCATCACACAGCCTGTCAAAAAATTGTGCAGCAGAAAATGGCTACGCTAACTTCTAGTTCTTCACACCCTGGCACACCTATTAGTCACCAGATCAGGTGTAACTACTACATCCCAACACCTACTCCTTTGTCAAGTGGCAACACTAATAACGGGTATATCAGTCAATTAAATGCCAACAACGTAGTCTCAGGGGTTGCAACCACATCATCAAGTCACAGTCACACTGTCATCACACATTCTCAAAATACCAAGATTACCATGGTGAGTTCTCAGGCACAAGTTTTATATCCTATTAACAATTTGCAGACAGAGAAAAATTTGCAGAAGTCTGAATTGTACTTATATTTATTCATCTTTTTATGAAGTTTTGATATTCTTTTATACATTAGAAAGTCTCCGTAGAGGTAGGAAGTTTACAACTGAGCTAATATCACATTGTAGTCAATAAAGAATCAGTTTTCTATGTGGATATATATGATATTGATGTCTTGATGTATTTTGATTATTACAAAAAGAACATTAACTCATGCTGTTGTGGCCCATGTGAAATTTGTAGCATGTTCAGGATGTGCCACCATTACAGTTGATGCAAATTATATAACACCTAGTAGTAATTGTAGAAACAAAGGCAATATTATAGTAACATAATATGTGTTGAATAACGTTTATAAGAGAAATACCAATGAGTTGAACTCTTCTTAAACTATAAGAGAATGGTATATAATTATGAACAAGTGAAATGTACTAAGAAAGAAAACACTGATCAAAAGGATTGGATCTGCATGAGACTATTGAGTAACTTGAAATAATTTATTTTGTGTAGGAACCAAACTCTCGAGACAAAGCTTCAGACACCAATGCTGCTGACTCTTTATTAAAGGAATCAAAACTCGAGAAACCAGAACGACCTATTATTGTGGAACCTTTAACTACCCCAAATCTTACACCAAAGGATTCAAAAGATCTTCCAACACCAAGTTCCACCCCAACTACGTCTCGCAAAACACGCAGACGGTCTAATCTGTTTCCCGTAAGTTACAATTACAGCCGATTTTCTGAGTCTGTTGAAATGTGGAATCCATTAGCTTATACAATCCTACACTTAATTTGAATTTCATGAAATTCACAAACAACAAGTAAGATAACAAGAAGTGATAAAATTCCTAATTTTATCAACTTGTATACAGCCAAGTAAAATTTCACATCCGAGGAAATATTTCAAATTTACAGCAATTAATAATAACTACAAAAAGGGTATTCTCGCTTGTTTTTAGTTTTGAGTTCACAGTATATACGTTGTTTGATCATAGTACCACTTCATTTCTTTTAATTGGTATTTCTGACCTCATTAGAATAACTTCATGTTGTTAGAACATAATGTGTGTTTTTCTAACTTAGTTCAATTTACCTAGAATATTAATTAGAATTTTAGGTTTTAAAAAGTTTAAAAATATTCAGTTAAATTAATAATGGACATTTGGATTCAGAGTTGGTGACTTTTGTAAAAAGTCACCAAAATGTTATTTGGATTTGATATATTTTAAACATAGAAATATGTTTTTGTTTTATTTAGATGAAGATTTAAAACCTACTGATACTAATAACAAAACATCTTTTTACAGCCTCTGAAAAAAGGAGAAGAAGACAAAAAATTAAAGAATGGTGAAGTAGGTAGTGGAAGACATATTCCTCTAAAACAGGTAAGAAAGGGTTTTTTTGTTATCGTTCTCTTTTATTGCATGTATGTTGCTGTGATCTTTTTCTTCATCTTTTATAAAACTTGCAGTGTGTGTGTGCATACTTATGTTATAGTAAGTGTGTAGGTATTTAGGAAAAGTCTTTAAGGATTTTGCATCGATTAATGAAATTTCGCATACTGACGGATCAATGCGCACATTATCCAGTTAACCAAACAATGTGCAAAAATGTTTTGTAGTCTCTTACATTAAGGTGCATTCTCCAATGATATTGATGATTATTCGAAATATCCAAAGAATCTGTAAATCATTCACTTCTACACATGAATCATAATATACATACTCTACAGATTTATAAGTCTATAGGTGATCTTTGCCGTTTCGTACATTACATGTATGTGTACTGTTTGATCTTTCATTTAGTTTCTGTTCTAATATTGAGTTTGATGCTACTTTTCCTATTACTTTTGTTTATATATTTATTCTATCATTTATTATGACACTGGAACATCATCCTCATTTATATAAAAATATATATATTTTTTTGTATTCTGATCATCATCATCATCTGTATTTCAGAATGGTTTTAGAAACATCTCTAGTAATAATAATATTATGAATACTTCACTTTAAAAAATAGTATCTCTGGGTGCTAAAATACTGTGGTCCTTAAATACTCTGTTGTTTTTTTGAAGCTGATATAGAAATATATAAAATATTAATGAAGAAGTAACATCATTTACGAGTAAGGTTCTGTATCGTACATCTTTGTGCTATTAAAAATGAGCACACTTCAAATGCAGGATACAGGTTTTTATCAAAATATTGGCCTCTCTTACTTATTCTCAGTGTTATGTAAAATTGAATTGAATTAAACAAATGCACACTGCATACATTTTGCAGGTGCATTGTTTTTCTGTTTGTTTGTTTCAAGCTTTAAGCATAGGTAGTATTATTATTGTTTTATGTAATATTTTGATCTTGCATTGTACACAACAATAATAGTAATAATGGTTTATTATTTACTGTTTTGGTTGTAACATAATATATTGGGATTAGTTATGAGAGAGCTACTATATCCCTGCACAAACACTTTGGGGATAAAATAAATGAAACATTGTGTTACAGTAGCATGCTTCCTAGCTGTTCTTAACACCTGTTTATGTCATATGAGATTTCATGAAATTTATTTTTAGACATTTTTTCCTGTGTAACTCTCTTGATAAACTCATACATTTGTGGCTGTCATAGGGTTACCTGTATAAACGCAGCAGTAAAACACTGAATAAAGAATGGAAGAAGAAGTATGTAACTTTAACAAGTGATGGTAGATTAACATATCATCCAAGTCTTCACGTAAGTATTTTTCTACATTTTAATTTTTACAGGGGCTTAAAAAGCAATGTGCGAAGTAAAAAATTTCAAATATATGTATAAAAGGCAAAATAATTTTGAAGTCAATAATATAGAAAGTATCGTGTATTACCCCCCCCCCTCCTCCCAAGTAGATGTTACTTCACTCTTTCTGAAAATGTTGCATGTTACATTCAGGTAATTTGTTGTAAAACCAAATGTTGCTACATCAAGCCCTAATGATACATAATTTCAATGTTACTTACAGTTACTGCATGTAGACTTTTAATAATTGTAAAGTTAATTCAATGAAATTATAATTGTCCATCAAGATAGTATTATGTGAACTAAAAAGTTCTATGAAATGGTGAAAAGTACTTTCTGCTTAAGTCTTAAGCTCATGAACTCCTACTAAAAGGACGATTTTTTCATAACCTGAGCTAACTACGAATCCAGTCAGAAAATACTCAACTTTGAAAACATTTTACTCTTGAACTTATTTCATACATGTGTTTAGAAGATTTGTTGCACTCTGTGTTTTATGTAATAGCTCTTATCTTCTCATGCTGTGGCCTGAAAAGTTATTTCAGCTCTGAGGTCAGTGAAATTATACTTGTTTTCTCTGCAACTCTTCTAGACACCATTTTTTATTATTGAAGAGTAAGAAGAATTTTATAAAAGGTCAATTTTGTCCTTCCCGTCAAATATCCAGTTTCTCATTTAAGTTCAGCACAATGATCTTAAACAGTCGTACAGTCAAATTATACTTCTATCAGCTTTGAAAGCTTTTGCCTGATTATATGTTAAAATTAACATGATGTGGCTGTATCAAAATTGCTTGTAGGAAATTATTAGGTAACTTCTACAGTAGACAACTGGTAATGCTGTTTCTTCGTAAAAATACATATACTTATTATATTAGTTATATATTAGTCTGCCCATATCATTATACAGTTCAGTTTGTTTCTTTGTGTGCATTTATGTAAACACACATACACAGAGTAATGAAAATAACATAGAAACACACAAGCAATGCACATATAG